AGGTTCTTACATTAACCTCCTAATTTTCTTAGGAGAACAACTTGCACTGAAGCATTTAGTGACTCAGTTAATATCTGTCACATGTGATTAATTTTCCTCTTTATCATCTCTGGGGGAAAACTGCATATGTAGAGAAGGGTTTAACTTGGATTTTTTTTTACTCTAAGTAAACTGCTGCATTTGTAGACAGCTTTAGAAAAGGGAGGTGGAGATGCTGCAGTAGCAATTTCTTCTACCATCCCATGAGAAAATGTTTTCCTCTGCAGACCAAGTGCACAGGGTTTTTTTTGAACTGCAGGTATACCTCATCCTTTTTCATAGCTCTATGCTTCATGCATTAGACATGCGTACTGAAACCTTTAGCTAATCAAAGCTATCTGACAAAACCTACACATACTCACATTCAATAAAACTTGATTCAACAGTCATTGTATGCATATATGGTAAAAAAAGAGGAAGAAATTTAGACTAGAAAACTAACTTTCTAGTCTTGTTATCACACAATTTAATCAAGTAGATATGTTAATTTGATCTGACCATACTTCTCCTGCACATTAACTGCTGATACATTTGAAAGTAAGTTTTAGATTTTAATCTTTTTCCCTTTAAATACCTACCAGCTGGAAGTGCAAACACATTAGGGAGGGTTCTTGTACAGTAAAACATCAAATGAAACTGAGTAACAGTGATGAGACAGAAGATTGATGCTGTAGTTGCTCCAAATTGTTTTCTAACTTCTTTCTGCAGCTTCCATAATGTGTAAATCACACAGAGCCCCAAACTTCCTCGGACTATCAAGAGAATAAAAACAGGAATTAAAGAGTATTATCAGATGGATCACTGATGAATGGCCATGTTACATAAGTGGGAAGACATTCTGAAGATTAATACTTAAGATACCGCAATATAACTACCTTCAAAGAAACAAAAAGCCAAACAAAACTTCATTTAGTTTATCTATTCTAATCCACTTTTAATCTGACTGGTAGTTCTGCACAGAGGTCAGTGCTTCCATGCCAAAGTTAAGGAACCTTTCTGAAGTGTGCATGGGAGTGTACTCTCTGAAAAGACTTGAGACACTTGCTCTTTTTACACTGCCTGACATTTGTTAGCACAGACTTTCTGTGTGCTGTTAGTTACTCCCTGAAGAGGGAATGGAGTGGCCATGCTGGCCCCAAGCACCATGGTTTGAGTTTTCCTTCATTAAAGAAAAGAATATCACAATTTAACCATTGATCCAAATGTAGCAAAAATGTTTTAACTGATGCTCTAATGGATGACATCTCTAAGGATTTGAAGTTCTCATACCTATCAGCTGAGAATAAAACTTGGACATTCTTAGCACAGAAAGTATGTAGATAGCTGGGCTGGAAAGAGCAGCAATAAAAATTGGTCCAAGGAACGTTCTTGGGACAACTCCAGGAAATTCATGATGGTCATACTGCAAAAAGGAGAATCTACTTAAAATAAGGCAAATCAGAAACAAGGGAAAATAAATCATTTTCACACCACATTTATCCTACAGGTACTGCAGGGAATTGCCATCTTTATCACTGTCCAAAAATGAAGATATTATTTTCAATTTACCTTATCCAAGTCCAGCTGGTGGTACACCACATCATGGATAGCTTGTAGGTTAAAGCTTTCCTCCACTTTCGTAAAGGGACAGACAGTTAAATGAACAAAGGCCACAGCAATAAGCAGCAGCAGCAATGGGAATGACCTCCCACTTGAGCTCCTCTTCTGAGCCATCTTAGGTTTGAAGTTCAGATCTATTCTATTGTAATTAAAAAGAAATTTTTTTTTTTTAATTACATCAATAATATGGCATGAAGTGCACAACCAGAAAAAAAATATTGATTTTGCAAGGAAAATGTACTACAGCAGTTGAAAAGTTTAAACGAAGACCAGTAAGCCAAAAAATCCAGGAAATTTTTTACTACATTCAGTGGATTAAGGTAGTCAAAAATATATCCAGAAGCATTTCAGAATTTATGCCACCATCTGTAAATATAATTGTTTTAATTTTCACCTAAAAAAACTCAAAACATGGATCCTAAAAGAAAGTATATCCCTTTGCCTTCCATACTGCCCCACTGCTGAGTGTCACCTCAGATTTGTGGGACAGACAGCTTTGTAATTTACCCTCACTTTAACTGCACACTGGATACACCCATGATCTTTAGAACATACCCTCTTGTTTGTTCAGGGCTCCAAAATCAGTGGGAGAGAATCCACAAGCATGAGAAATTATTCAGAACAGAGTACTTTGATCTCCCAGGTTTGACAGCAGCTAGGTCTGGACTTGGCCAGAGAAGGACAAGAGATGCCCTCTGGCACCCACACACGTCACTATGGCAAGAGACACGCTGTACCCCACACTTCACACTTCTCCCAGAAATGAAGGCCACCCCTCCCTAGTGCTTCATTTCATAGCACCACTGAGCCATTCTTATGGTAGTATTTATGTTGCATTTTATCATCATGATAAAATCATGTGCTCACGTGATGCCAGAGCAAATCTATTTCATGCTCTTTTAATTTAAGCTTTTAAATTTTTTCAAGTTTACAATTAAATAAAATACAAGAGATTTTGGTTATTGTTATTCTTGTTCTGTTCACAGAGACAAAATTTCAAAACCAGCACTTTTAAGGTACAACTGGGGTTTTGGCTAGAGATGTTTTCTCCTGCGTTTTGGTCTAAATATGTCCATCAAACAGACGTATGACAACTGGCAGATGCCCTGGCATCACTTAGCAACTGCCTCCTAGAGCTACCTTTTCTTGAACTGATGTTTGTGCTGCTCATCAGTAAAAACAAGTGAGCTCACATTCCTTGTATTCACACCTAGCACAAATAAATCCTGAAATTTGTGTACTTCCTGTAAATTGCATGTATCTGCATATTATTTTAAATATCTCATTGACTCTGCATATCTTTTTCTGATGACTGCTTCTGCAGAAGACTGTAACTGAAGCTCTCAGTCTGGGCTCAAAGACAGAGCATTGTCAAGAGCCTAAACAAACCCTTCACCCCAGGAAGTAGCAATAGCCTTTTTAACCTGTGTCTAGTATTACTTCTTTACAAGAATGGATAACGATAGTCTATGCTACAACAGAATCCTTTTCCAACAGGAGTAGAAAAAGATGTATGGGACTGACACCAGGATACCTCAGAAAGTGTCTGGCAGGAATTAAGTTCCTGCACAGGGCATTTTATGTTGCACAAATTCTTGTCTATAGAAGCCAAATTGTTCCAATAAATGCACAAGAATCTCATGCTTCTGGGCAAACTTAACTGAGGAGAAAAATGGACACTGAAGGGTCAATCCACTGCTGCACACAGCAACACAACACTTGAGCAGCTCATGCATCAGGTGAAACAGCATATTCACCCACAATGTAGGTACTCCTTACCCCAAATTCACAGCTTCTCAACACTGCAGGTATTTTAGGACCCAATAAATCCTTATAAAAGGATCCAAGTGCCAAGAAGTTCTATTTCTTCCTTCTTAGTTACATCATCTGCATAACAACGAGCTGCTGCCATCACCTATAAATACTGCATTAATTATACTCTGACCAATGTACATCAGAGCCTGCACCGTCTATCTTTAGCTGGTAGCTACATGAATACTCAGTACCAAACTTCCTAAATCAGAATGAAAGTGAAGCTATATATCCCACAGATAGTTTATCACAAGCTTTTTTTATTTTAATCTTGTTGACTCCAATCCTTTTGTATGCCTGAAAAAAGTGAGCACGCCGGCATATGTGTACATCTTGAAGATAACTATATGCATTACAGATACTGAAGTTTCCTGAAGGCAAACATGCTAGAAGATAAAAACCAAATCATGAAGACAACACCTGGGTTTCTGGGATACAGCCTAATAAATTCAGTGGTCTTGTCAAGACTCAAGATACCTTGCTCTGTTAAAAATTGATGCTGACAAGCATCAAAATTCAACTGGAATTTATCAAGACAGGTAGACATTAAATTTGATGGTTAAAATAAATTTGCTATATAAAAGCAAATAATTGCAATTATGTTTTTTTATTTTTTAAATGCCAAAACCACAGAAACAGATTTTCCCTTAATAAAAATAATTTAATAATGAAGCTTAGAGGAATAACAATAACAAAATACACACAGGTTTGTCCATTGATTACAATCTGGCAACTTCAGAAGATTCTTCCTCAGGCCTCTACAACACAGCCACACTGACTCCTCCCACGGCACTCTACATCAAGATGGAATCATAGAAGAGCTGGGTTTTTAAAACAAAGGATTCATCCTTTCCTGGGATTAAATTGGGTGAAAAAAAATTAAAAATGTGGATTTTAATGTAAAAAAAAAATATAGCTGAAGTGCTTCCATCAAAAATGGTTTGTTTATGTTTTATACTTTTTCAGTAGTATCATTAGTTCACATGGATTTTTTTACTCTTCCCGTGAAAAATTTACCAAATTTAGCTTATTTATGTTTTTCAGACATGCTTCAGAAGAGCTAGAGTTTGGCAGCCAAACTGCATGTTAAATCTGTCTAGAGTCATTTCACTGCCTCACATGGAGGCATCTAAGCAGAACTACCAAGTGCACCCCAGCATAAGGTCTTCTCTCTTAACTTGATCTACCTTTGAAAAATCTAATTTTGTATTATCTTAAATTTCCATGGCTTTTTTCCTATGCTCTAAAAGCTTTTTCAAGTTTGCTCTAGAATACCTCAATGAGGGCAGATTTAAACCTTGTAGTTGCTGGGATTGCCTTTTCTTCTTGTATTAGGAAAAAATTGCAGTTACTATGCTTATATACACATCCTCATGAGTTTCGAGACTAGATAAAAAAAAAACCCCACAGAAAACAAAAACAAACTTAGGAGAAAGAAAAGGAGAGAAGGTAGTGGCAGTAAATACAGTGTGGGACACCACTAGACACAAAGGTACGACGCAGCGATAAAGAAATGGCACTCTTGGGGCAGGGATAAAAAAACACGCAGAATGCTCTCGACTGAAACCTACCCAAATCCAACCCGAACACCCTCCCCACGCCGCCATCGCAGGCGACACCCGGACAGCCCAGCCGGGGCAGGTTTGAGGTGCCGCCCGTGTCAGGTCACTTTTGTGAGGGGGCTCCGTGGGGGCTTCAGGCCGTGGCCAAACAGCGCCCGCTGCTCCTGCAGCCGCCGCCGCCGCCCCGAGGCCGCCAGGCCCCCGCGGCAGGGGCAAGG